CTGTAGTACACTTTTGTTACACTCTGGCGTTTTTCTTGAAAAGCATACACTTTACACGATGTTTCCCCCACTTCCAAAAAGTGTAGTGTATTAAAAGTGTAAGGTGTACACTTTACACTTTTCGTGTATGCAAGTAAAACAAACCTTATACTGCCTACTCCCATTGTAGACTAGCCATTACATGCGGCGTAACTAGCGTAAACGTAATTTGCGGTAACCAATTATATTGTCTCAGCTATAATACGCAAATACGCTGAGATGATATAATTGGCTACGGCAAGTTACGCTTACGCAAGTTACACCGCATGTAAAGGGCCGTCTACAATGGAGAGTTTTAGACTGTAACAGTAAGAAACTGACAAATCACAATCGATTATTCTTCTGTACTTTGCCTGTGATTGGTCACTTTCTTACTATTACGGCCTACAACTCTCCATTGTAGACGGCTCTTAAGGGAAGCCTTATAGCAGAGAGAAACCTGAGAGCGGCCATCCTATTGTAATTTTTTACGACGGTTTCAGCCGCTGGTTTTAGCCGTATTTCCACAAAAGTGGAACTCAAAGGCCGTTCTCCATGAAACTCAAGTCGTAGGTCTCGTGGAACTGATCAATCACGTTGGTCGATTGGCTGATTTGACTCTGCAATTGGTCAATTCCACGAGATCTGCTACTTGCGTTTAATGTAGAACGGCCTTTGAGTTCCACTTTTGTGGAAATACGACTAAAACCAGCGGCTGAAACCGTCGTAAAAAATTACAATAGGATGGCCGCTCTCAGGTTTCTCTCTGCTTATACAACCGTAACACGTTTCTATGCGTGCTAAGAAAATGCTTCTGATTCATTGTAGCGGGACGCGGAACGCACTTTTGATTTGCTAAAATACCAGGTCAAACAAAAATGGCGCTGATCAATTTGTGCCACGTCTCGCTATGCTTGTTAGGCGAAGATGCGCATTCCAGTGTATATAGAGTTCAGTGATTAATTTACACCTAATGCGGCGTAGAATCAAATTTAAGTCGATGGAAACCTGTCAAATTGCGCTGATTTCATTTCCACTTCAATCTATAAGTACTCTACTTCCAATGGAAACGGAACACTAAATTTGATCGGTACCGGAGTGAAACCGAATTGAGTTTCGGTGGAAACTAGACCTGTGATCGCCTTGTGAGAGGGGAATTAATTTGGGATTACACTCGAATTAATTTTTGGAGGTCCGAATGGTCCGATTCATTTCACTAATTAACACCAAGAAACTCAGTTGAAAGAGACCGGCCTGGAAAAAATCCTTAGGTGATGAGCGAATTCGAACTCGGGACCTTCGGGTTCGCAGCCCCTGTACTCAGGCGGAGGCCGCGAGACCACTGGACCGGTCAATGAAAAACGTGTGTTAAAAAACGCGAAATAATTATTTGTGTGTATAAACACAAATGAAATAACTCAAAGAACCTTACTTTTTAAGCCCCTTACATAATGGAAGGAATAGCGATAGCGATAGAAATAACACCAGTTTTAAAGAGTTTATATCTATAAATACCGGTAAGAACAGCGGAATCTAACATATAAAAATACACACGTATCAATGCAGATCAGAAAACGGAATAAGCAATAGCGACAAAATTTCCGATGAGTTGGAATTCTGTGTCTATTGCTTATCGCTATCACTATTCCCTCGCATTGTGCAAGAGGCTTTAAGGTCTGAGCACAATAGAAAAAAGAGAGAGATTAGGAATAGGAATTAAAAAGAGAAGTTAAATGTAATGCAAAAAAATTAAATATAACATATAAATGTATATAAATATAAGCTGTATATGATGCAGCTATGATATACTTCCTGTATTTATATATTATATTTTTTTTTGTATAGTACATTTAACTTCTATTTCTAATTCTTATTCCTATTTTTTTTTTCTCTATTGTGCTCAGGCCCTTACTCTATACTGCCTCTTCCATTGTAGACGACTCTTAACGCAACCCGCTACGAAAGAGTTGTGCGGGGGCTCTTACTGTATGTGTAAAATATGAGTTCAAATATACAAAGCTACACATATCTTATCTAAAAAATAAGATTTAAAAAAATATAAAACTTAATTTTTTTATTATCAATGGAAACGTCATGCTGAAATTAAATGCTCGCAAGTTTACAAATTAGTTTTACTCAATTTTCCAGAATCAAGCAGCATTCTTTTCAAGATCAGACACGTATGTACGGATACAATCTCTTAATAAAATTGTTATGTAGTCTCGGTTGGTAAAAATGTTTGTTTGATACTCATGCATCTTTTGTCTAAACAAAAGATTGGTAAAAACAATCAGAATATGTTTCATGTTATTGCATGAAACAATAAAGTTAGATATTTTGTAGATACTAGCACATCACAGACGCGCGCTACGCGCACGCTATTATTTTTATTTTAACATATTCCGTTAGTAGACACAACATGTCACCGCGATGACAGCTAGTACACGTACGACAGTGGCTGTTTTCTTTTTAAGAGACAAAGTCGACACAAAAGTCATTCTGTCTTCGTTAAGTATTCAGTGAGAAACAAAGACAGAATGACTCTTGTGTCGACTGTCTCCTAAAAGGAAAGCAGCCAGTATGACATGAATCGAGAAACCATTATTCGAGAAACGTCACCGAGACGTCCAATCAACGTCGCGGAAAAGAGGCAACAATCAAGATCGATTCTGATTATTTGCACACGCTTTTTCTGGTAGGAGGATTTGCTTTTACATATTTTACATGCCCTAAACAATTAATCTATGTTGAGATAGAAAACGCTGTTCTTCTTTGTTATAAAGTTTATGCAAATACTAATCTGCATAACAATTATAATATAAGATATTAGCTTTTTAAAAATATTAGATAGAGTAAAAGTATGACTTACTAAGTAATAAAAAACACTTATAAAATCGTTGCAGTAAAAAAAATATGTACCAGTTAACACTTGAGAGATTTCGTACTCCACAGTTTTGTTTACTTAGTGTTATATCATATATTAGTTTTTGGCAATATCGATTGAAATAAAGTTAATATTGGTAAGCGTGTGTAAGATCGAAAAATCATACTTATTATTTTCATACAAAAAAGAACTTCTTTCATTGAATACAGAAAATAAACTGTGCATTGTTTTCCTAAGATTGTAAAGGAAACGATTGTAAAGCGATACAATCAGCAAGCAAAAAATGAAAGAAAGTTGAATGTAAAAACAATTGTTGTTATTAATGCAATGTAGAACTTATTTGTTTTGTTCATGCATTGCCATTCTTTTTTTACACAAAAAAGTAAAAGAAAAAGAAGAAGTTGTTATTTATAAAGCACAAAAGATAGAAAAGGACGTTTCATCAAACATTATAATAGCAATTACAAACCTATATCTGAAAAATAAAATAATTTGTAAATCTTATAAATTTTGAAAACATTACAATTGCGTTAATGTGATTATATATATATATATCTTCTCATATACATGCAATTTTCTGTTACCATTGTCTGTAACTCCGCATGCACTGCATACCGAGATAGAATAAAATTGCATTAATTAAAATTATATCGGACATAAGCTCGTAAAGTACATAAGAAAAGATTTTATCAACGAAACAAGGGAAAATACATTAAATAGTCTCGAAATCTTTTTTCCTGCACAAAATTAGCCTGCTATAATGCAGTTCCCTCCCAATTCATAATATCTTCAGAACTGCTTCATATTAATCAACTTGACTCTCAGATTATATTCTCTTGTCATATGTAAGAAATTTAAATTAACGCTCTAAAGCACTATAATGTATATACATAAGTTTTGTGCTTCCTCAGAGAACTCAAATACTAACAATTCTGTTTTCGACAATTCAGCAACGATACACATGCTTACTTAACATATATATATATATATATATATGTCGATTATACAACTATATAATAAACAGCAATCGTTAACACATTACTCTCATCATAGGAAGATTATTCATCTGTTACTGTTATGTAAATTTTATGGTATACAAAAAATGTCTTTTATATATAACTGTTGGAATAATGACACTTAAACTAGATACGCAATATCACATGTCATAGTATTTCAGGTCGCTCCTTAATTTTCTTTACTTTCTGTCGTTTTACCTGTATTATAAGGTTCACTGCGAGAATACTCTTAAAAGTTGGTAGTGCTATTACTACGATTGACCTTTTTTCCTATGGTACGAGAGGACTTGGTGGTGATAAACGGTCTTGATTGTCGTTCGTTATTACTGCCATCAATGTTCGACTCAATGGTTTTCAGGTACACCGCCGCATCATGAAGCTTTTGGGACAGAATTTCATTCTTAATTTTCTCAGCGTTCAGTTCTCGTCGTAGTTGCTCCTTGGTTTTATTTTCAGGTGGACATAAGACTCGATGTTGTATCAGAGATGCTGCTGATGGCCTTATTTCCGGGTCAGGATTCACCATTAGCTGCAAATAACAGCGATCAAGTGTCAAAAATATAAAACAGACTTTAGAAGAAAAATAAATTTAATTTGCATAACAAAGTATTTAATAAATTATTTTTTAAAAATATTTAATAAATTATTAACAAAAATAGTTATATAAATGTTAGAAAAAATCGAGCAAAACTTTGAAAATAAACTCGTACCTTCAATAAATTATTAAGATCGCGACTACAATGTGATAATTCCTTCAGTTTTCCCTCTCTAATCTCTTGCCATAAAGGTCCGTTCTTCGGCAGAAGACCACCGCCGCCTGCTTCGTAAACAGTCATTCCCAGAGCGAAGATATCAGCCTTTTGTAAATGACTGTAATTCTCATGCAGAATTTCTAGAGCCAGATATCGACAGTCGCCCTCTTCAATTTGTGGCGGAGGATTATGGGCGGATGTGACATGACCAAGGTCGCCGATTTTATAGGTGATTTCATCCTCAGCTATATCTTCTTCGTCAGCAAAACCGTCGTCAGCAGAATCATAGTTGAGAGCGAGCAATCTATTCTCCTTGGAGATAAAGATATTACCAGGCTTGATGTCCATATGAACCAACTGCATGCTGTGTATATATCTGAGCCCTTCAGCTATGTGTAGTAGCAATTGGCGCATTTCCGCTTCAGTAAAGTATTTGTTTTGTTTTCGATTCTTCTCGATCACGTCCGCGAGACTACCGCCGTTACAATATTCATTCTGAATAATCATATGATTGTCTTCCGCCCAAGCGGAATAATAGCGCACCACGTGCTGATGTTTACCAAGCACAGCGTGTGCATATACTTCATTTAGCGCAATCTTCTCGGCAATACAGCCTGCCACAGGTTTTAGGCTCTTCTTGATGGCATACGTGCACCCATCTAGTCGATTCACACACTTATATACTGAGCCAAAATCGCCAGTTCCGATCAAGCCAAGTTCGTGGAATTCTTTATGATATCGTGATATATTCGAATCCTGTAGTGCCACACGCTTTGTCACATGTTCGTACTCATTGTCAGAATCCTCGGAGTCAGCAAGATTAAATTTTGGTATGTCCAATAAGTTATCACTACTTTAGTCAAAAACAAAAAGAAAAAACTGTAGGTTGTTTTTTTTAATTATTATTATCTTAGATCGTCTTAAATATTTGTTTATATATTTGTGTATGTATATACATATATGTATGTATGTATACACATATGTATATGTAATAATTATTACATTTGTGTATGTGTATATATACATACATATATAATTATTATTACTGTGTGCACAAAATAATAATGTAATGTATAAAAGTAAAAAAACAAATAAATAAATTATATATATATATATATATATATTTACCCATTAAGGCTACGTTTAGATCTGCTCCTCTTCCTTGCTGTTATTAGCATGCTGGTAGGTGTAAATGGATTTACATTTGCTGCAGGTTTCTCAGATTTAGTTTGGTAACTAGGACTTATTTTGGTAATTGGACTTATTTTAGAAGGTCTAGGTTTATCTAAGGAAAAAGTTCGAGGACATCGGGAAGGAACTGGAGTAGGCATAGCACTCTTCTCTATTAAAGTTTTGGGAGTAGTGGGTGTATCAAACAAACGTAAAGCTCTAACACGTTTGTAAGGTGGACTACATGTCATTGACAATCCTTGCACACTGCTATTTTCATGAACATGAATGCTTTCTATTCCCTTTGTGTTTGGAGTATATTCCTTAACTGAACCTGAAACCAAATACTTATTCAGTGTATTTACTAAAAGTATACTATCAAAAAGAATCTCAAGTATATAATTTATTAATTTCTTAAAATTTAACATTAATCTCAAAATATGGTATCAGTGCATAGAAACTTTTTAGTTACTGACCCAAATTTAATCCACAACTACAGTACTTAGGTTTATACAATTTTAAAGTGTAACTTCACCATTACTTCATAAAAAAAATTAATGCTTAGATGTAGTAAAATTGTCCAAATCTATCTCACTATCAATTATCTTCCTATAATATATTAATACAAATTTAAACAAACACTATGTATGTATACTTTTAAAATAGATAAAAATAAATTATAAATAGCTCTACAAAAAGAAAAACATCACATAATTACAGTTATGATTTCTTCAACAAAAATTAATAAATTTTTGTGGAAAAACAAAAGTTGTCTCACATAAACACAATTCGCAAACAAATATAAACGGCGCACGAGAGAGCACTTTGAAACCACAGTTATCCATTATGGAAACAGAGACGCCAAGACAGCACGGAGAAAGGTGTTCTAACCTGTCTTGTTATTATTGGTTGGCACATCGTTTTCGTTGTCGTTACAGTCCGTGGTGAAGAGCTTGCGCGGCTGCAAAGGCGTCGGCGGCGAGCCAAAATCGTCCGTCGAAGAGTCCATGATATCGCCGGTCTCACAGTCGGGGCTGCTTGTACGACAGCTCCAACTCAGTTCTTCGTTCTGCATGTCGCACGCGTCGTATCGCACCTTCTGTGCGACCTCCATATCCACGCGTATTTGTTGTAGAAATTTCACTCCACACGCATACGTACGTGACGCAAATATTTATTCGTCGCCGCGCTGATCAAAACGCAAGTAAAACAATCAGTGAAATAACCGGTTGCGACTGTTATGAAAAAAAAAACAAAACTGTATATATCTCTCTACAGAATCGTCCGATGACGTTGCCGATACCATATATATGCGTGTATCCACGATTATACTGAAGTTCAACTGAAGCGCGTTTATTCAAACCTGGTCTAGTTTCCACCGAAACTCCCAATTCGGTTCCACTCCAGTACAGATCAAATTTAGTGTTCCGTTTCCATTAAGGGCTGTCTACAATGGGAATACGCAGTGAGTGCGTTCCGTTTCACGCATATGAGCGCATTTATCTATAGTACATGTCACGTATAGTATAGACAAATGCGAGCATATGGGTGAAACGAAACGCAGCTTAGCAGTCCATATATTGGGTGCGTTCAGATAACTCAACGGTTGAGAGATCATCACTTATGATAGGACTATTCTTCAAAATCTAAACGGTTCCATCAGTATGATCCAATCAGAAGTGATTTTCTCTCAACCGTTGTGCGTCTGTTGAGTTGTCTGAACGCACCCACTGTGTACAACCAGGGGTATGTTCCAAAATCCTACTTTGGTTACCAAAAACTATAGTACACGTGACGTGAAATATAGCATTTTAGTAACCAAGGTAGGATTTTGGAACGTACCCCAGAGAGAAACCTGAGAGCGGCCATCCTAATGTANCGCCGTATTCACCAGACATTGCTCCTTCTGATTATTACTTGTTTCGATCGATGGCACATGGCCTGTCTGAGCAACACTTCACATCATATGAAGATACCAAAAACTGGGTCGATTCCTGGATAGCTTCAAAAGATGAAGCGTTTTTTCGACGAGGTATCCGTATGCTACCAGAAAGATGGGAAAAGGTAGTGGCTAGCGATGGACAATACTTCGAATAAAACATTATGTATCGTTCTTTCACAATAAATGCCCAATTTTTGATAAAAAACGGCGGAAACTTATTTATACTCCTAATATTTTTAATTTTAATTATTTATTCGAGATAATTTATAAAACCTATAAAACTTTACAAACAATATTTTATAATATCAAAATGAAAATGTGGTGTATTGGGCGATAATAGAGTCAATGCAGAGTGACGTGCAAAAGTAATATAGAATTATGCAGTTGAAAAACGTTTCGACTTTATTTTTAAGTCCTTTTCAATTTCTACAAATAATCGATGAATATTATAAGAATGATGAAGGAATTGATCAAAAATTTGTACGTACCATAAAATTAACAATATAAAAAGCAGTCATTTCATATAAAAGTCAAAAAATCCATTCAATAACAAATACAGTATATTTATCAAAAACCGACAGATAAGAAGAAACGGATTTATCCATGTCGTTTGAATTGTAAGGTTTATGATTGACTGAGAGGAAGAAAAAGATATTGCTCCCTCTGTGTGTGTGCGTGCGTTAATATTCGATTTTATCGGGTGACGGTAAGTAGATTTCGTTTAATAGATCCGTGTCCTGCATCAAATTCAAACTCGCGTTTTGTTTTTTAATATATAACATCTCAGATGTTAAGCGTTTGTAGTAATTACTTTCTTTATCTAATATTTTTGTCTATACAAGTAATTATTTTGCGTTTTTTGACACGCGTCTTTTATTGGCTAACAGTAAGGCAGTAGGCAGTGCGAAATGGGAATTGCCCATTTCGTTATTCCCGTCGTTTCTTCATCAAAAAATAATTTACTCTCTACTCCTACAGCCTTACTACCTTCATTGTAGACTAGCCATTACTGTTACAGAGATTCATGTGTGATGGCCTTAAAGGCCATCGCACATAAAGGCTAATATTACATTTGTCGTATAACAAAAATTTTAAATATACTGATTGGCTATCAAATAGAGTTCTTTATAAAGCTCTATCTGATAACTAATCAACATAGAGTGCTTTCCAACTACGTACACAGGCGACACTGTGTAACACAATGTCCATTAGTGTGAGTGAGACACACTGATATGCTTTTTCTCACACTAATGGACACAGTGTTACACAGTATCGCCTGTGTACGTAGTTGGAAAGCACCCATACTTAAAATCGTTGTCGTACGACAAATGTAATACTGAGTGCGTTCAGACAATTCAACAGTTGCACAACGGTTGAGAGATAATCACTTCTGATTGGATTATACTTTTGGAACCGCAGCAGATTTTGAAGAATAGTCCTATCATAAGTGATGATCTCTCAACCGTTGAGTTGTCTGAACGCACCCATTAACCAAAGGCTGCTTTCCTTTCAGGAGACACAGTCGACGGAAGTCGACACAAGAGTCATTCTGGTTTTTGGTTTTGGTGCTCTTTTGGCTCAGTGGATCTATGAAGCTAGTCCATACGTCATTCTACGTCATTTTTGATAATAGATTTAAAACCGTGGATTGGGTTCCTGACGCCAAGCCACGGAGTTTGTATATTTGTTTTCAAGTTAACAGAGAAGGAGGGGTTGTGCAGTATTCTTCTACCACGCGATACACTGCCGTCTTTTACAGTAGGCGTGCCTATCTGTGTCGGCTCGTGTTCGAGGTGTTGTGACTATGATCGCCTTGTGGAGGGGGAATTAATTCGGGATTACACCTGAATTAATCATTGGAGGCTCGATTAAGTTCGCCAATCAACCGATAAATTCGGTTGAAAGGGACCGGCCCGGAAAAAATCCTTAGGTGGTAAGTGGATTCGAACTCGGGACTTCCAGGTTCGCAGCCCCTGCACTCAGGCTGCGAGACCACTGGCCCGGTTTAAGAGTCATTCTCTCTTTGTTTCTCACTGAATACTGAACGAAATGACTTTTGTGTCGAATTGTGTCGACTGTGGGAACTGTTTAGCTATGTACAGTCGCGGTCATTGAATTGTTTCGTGGACGCGAAGGGCTAGGAGTAAGAGGGACGGTATTTCCTAGCAGTAAGTACTGCCAACAGGCGTTGTACTAACTGTAGCAGATCTCAATATATTGACCAATTACGTTAGTCGATTAGTTAATGTGAATTAACCAATTTTGACAAACGTGAATAGTCAATTCCGCGAGATCTGCGACCTGCGTTTGCATCTCATTGGCCACCGCATTGCGCGTAAAGACCATTCTGCATAAGACGCAAGCACATAGGGTGCATTCCGATATTTACTGCCAGTACTGGCAGCGTCACAAGTACCGTTCCAAAATACATAGCAGTAAGCTGTCGAAGCACGTTTGCGAGCATATGACGTCACGGATTTTGTCGTCACTTCCTGCTTTCATCACTGCGGTTGGAGAGGTAAAACAGTCGCAGTAGAAAGATGGCGGCGTCCATTCTTACGTGTTCACTGATTGATTTTTGGTTATGTTTGTACACTTCAAAAGATACTATAAAATCGTTCCGTTATACGATGGAAGAAACAGTACAAGTAATTGCGGAACATAGAAACAGCATTGTTTTATGACGTCACATTGTCAGTACTGGCAGTGAATATCGGAATGCACCCATAATCAATCGACTAACGTAATTGGTTAATTCATCGAGATCAGCATTACTACACTTAGTTAGTACGGCGCCCGTTGGCAGTACTTACTGCTAGGGAATACCGTCCCTTTTACCCCTAGCCCCCCGCGTCCACAAAACGATTCAGTGACCGCGACTGTACACAGGCGATACTGTGCAACGGGTGACGTCCATTTGACCACGGTACAATTGGACACAGTACGATTGCACACGTAATATTGGACACGTACGATTAGACACGGTACGATTGACCACAGTACGATTGGACACCGCAAGAATAGCACACCGTACGATTCGACACGGTACG